GTGAACCATTGTGAGCTTTACTGGTTTGAAAAACAAGCCCACACAAACACACACACAAAAAAAAAACAATTATACTTCCACACATATATAACTGGTGAAAAGTCCCACAAGCAGCAATATTTAGCTGCTGCCTCCTGATAAGTCTGCTTTTTGCAACGGGGGCCTTTTTGGTGGAATAAAGATGCGTATGGCTATAGTAGGTTGGGTTAAAGTTATCACCCTTCCAGGATTTACATTAATACAGAAATTGGACCAAAATGGAACTTTAAGGAAAGTGAACCATTGTGAGCTTTACTGGTTTGAAAAACAAGCCCACACAAACACACAAAAAAAAACACTTTCAAACTCTGGATTTTCCAATAGGGTTTATTGACACTTAACATCAACAAACAAGTTTTAACATGAAAAAGTCAGATATCAGGGTGATGACTCCTTCATCTGGAATCATATGTTATCCAACTGGCGTTTCCTTTCTTTCTATTTTCTGTATTCTTATATAAGACTTGACCAAAGTTCTTTACACTACATTCAGCCATCCACCCATTCATGCACACACTGATAGTGGTCATAGCTGCCCTGCGGCTCACTTACAGAAGTGAGGCTGCCGTTCACTGGTGCCAACAAGTCCCCTGACCATAATCAATAGGCATGGCAGGTGAAGAATCTTGACCATGGACACAACAACACTGAAAGCCAGAGTTGGGGTTGGAATAGCCCTTGGGCAACACATTTCGGTTGCAGGGCTAACTCATGCATCCTATGCAACTCTCACCAAGTGTATACGCTAGAGAGCCTTTTTGATTATGATTTGATGATGAAACAAGTACACCATTGTATTACAGGAAAAATGTTGAACAATAGGTTGAAATGTTCCAAAACCAAAGAAAATGACTTTTATGTACAGCCATTAGTAATTTCAGTTTAATCTCAAACAATATCTGCTTGTTTTTTGTAGGTGAAGTGACAAATCAGATTTCAGGTAAGCTGAAGGCTTTTCTGATCTATCTGTCTGTCCATCCATCCTACAGTATCCTTAAGTAATAAACATAACCTCTGGCTTACATGGCACATAGAAAAAGAGTCTAATTAAATCGGGTACTGTCTGTTATATCTTTTTAGGACCACTCTACCCGATTAGAGGAACACTAAGCTATCGATCTGACGATGGAAGCTCTCCAGAAATATCTCTCCTCCAAGCCTTTAACTTCTATGGAAATGCTCACTCTTCAATTTATGTATGTCAAGCCTATTTCTAAAACTTTAAGTTACTTTAATTTTAAATGTGAAGAAAATATCAAAGCATAAAAACACCTAATTTTATTATTTTGTTTTTTATTGCCAGGTGAACCACAATGGATATCTGACCTTTGATGCAGAATGGTCCAGCTATTCTCCTCGACAGTTTCCAATGAATGGAAGCAGAGACGTCATTGCTCCATTCTGGACCGATTTAGACAACAGAGGAAGTGGCAACATCTACTATGATCAGTACACCAGTGGCCCTATTCTCCAACAAGTCACACAGGACATAAACACATACTTCCCAGCACTAAACTTTCAGGCCAACTGGATCTTTATTGCATCTTGGCATGAGGTTG